GAAAGCGCGCGCTCGCGCCGCACCGAGCGTCAAGTCGCGCGTGTGCGTGCGTGCGTGCCGCGATGAATGAAATGAGCCAACGAGGTTCGCGCGAGCCCCATTCGGGGGAGTCAAAAGAATTTTTCTAATCAAATAGCCGGATAGAATATTCCACGCGTGTTTCAATCGCGGGCAAATCGCGGCGCGCATACTTGAAGAGAGCGTAATGCCGAGAGATAGCTCTGAAACGTTTATTACGTATTCACGTTAATAATTCGACATCCGACGATATCGGAGAGCTTCTTTTTTACCCTCCCTTGTTTTGCATGTTTAATTAAATATAATATTTAAACGCATCTTCTCTCGCTGCCACTCGTCCACCGCTCTGTCCGTTTTTTCTTTCAAACTATAATTAATTTTCTGTTTCTTTAATTAGTTGGAATAATTACGCGTTATTAATGTTACGTGTAACAGAGCGCGCGACTCGATTACGAATCGCGTAGGACAACAATAGCATTAATTTATCAGGCGAGGTCGCGCGTCTCTTCTCCCTCTAACCGGAAAAAATCGACGGTCATTACTTATGCGATACAAAACCGTATTAAGGGTATACCGCTTACGTCGCGACACGTCGTTAAAGACACCGCGCTCTCACGGTCGATGTGCCCGCTAAATGTTTTCGCTAACGATATGATAATGCTTGAAATGTGACGGTAAATAAAAGGAAGATATCAAACACGGTGGCCGTGTTTTCTCATACGTGACGTTTATATTACACGACGATCGATCGGTACGCTAAAAACTCCATTCATTTCGTCGGCAATAACTCGAAAATTAAATGGAAAATTGCATATTTTTCGTCATTTTTACGCCCGTAATTGAGGTGTATTGACAAAGTATGAGCGAGTAATTTTTTTAATAATCACGACACTATTGCGCTTCTAAATATGAAAAGTGGTAATTAACTAAATACACATTTTGAAGAGAGAGAGAGAGAGAGAGAGAGAGAGAGAGAGAGAGAGAGAGAGAGAGAGAGAGAGAGAGAGAGAGAGAGAGAGAGAATCATTATTTATTACACGCTCTGGGATAAATCCCCTAAAGCGTGAGAGCAAAAATTATCATAAAAGTGTAACTGTGTGTGAGAATGCAATTATAAATATATATAGATATGTGTGTCAAGAGTATAAAGGTACAAAAATATGTATTATAACATATAAAATAGAGTTTTTGGAACAGAAATTGAAAAATTTAACACGATGAACAGGATAACATTCCGCATACCAATTCAGTAGACAAATAACAAAGATGTTTGATAACCCAATACTAAAATGGCCTGCCACCGGTTTGTTATTTTCATACACCCTCAGAAAGGATTTCCGTTACCGAGAAAAAAAAATATTCTTGACGCCTTAATATTTCTCACAACCTCATTCGGTATAAAAGTAAGACAATATCAAGATAAAATCAATAGTTCTTATTCTCCTCTATCGAATTAAAAAAAATGGACTTGCTATATTGGGACGAGAGTAACTTGTATAAACGTAAGTTTATATATTCTGGCGTTTGGAATAAATTTTCCCCGCTTGGCACCACGATATTCGACAAAAGACGATACATACTGTCACTTTATTCTAGATCCTCGAATTTTTCATCTAAAGCCAACGGCACACGATACTATTTTTCCTACTGGATTGCTTACGAATCAGGATTTAGCGTTTAGTCACCTGATCTGAAACTCTGCATCCTTATTGGTTCCCGTAAGTAATCCAGTAGGAAAAATCGTATCGTGTGCCGTTGGCTTAAGACTAAGATATCCCTTTCTCTGTAATAAATATGATTGGCGCTATATCGATTCTATTTTATGATATATTGAAGTGTAATAGCATTGGATTCGGAATTTTTTTTCTGTGAGTGTCCCCGGCTGCAGGTGCTCTGGTAGCTTGCGCCTAAAATCTCCAATTCTCTCTACCTCTCGCGAGAGAGTGAGTGAGAGAGAGAGAGAGAGAGGGGGGGAGGAGAGAAAGAGAAAGAGAGAGAGAGAGAGAGAGAGAAATTATTGCTGACACTCGGTACATATATAGGACACGCGTAAAAAGGAGGTGGAAGATGAGTGCCCGGACTCCGTGAGGTGTAGTTAGCGGTAGCCGCACGGTATGTCTTATCCTGGCAAAAAGTGCAACCACAGAGAATGACTTTTTGCAGTGGGAGAAGGTTAAACGGCGAAGAGTCGAACGATCATCTCGAGGGAGTTGCATTTCGGCTTTTTCCTTTCATGTAAAGATTGACCTTACGCGTTTAAACGGTTCGTTAAGTTGATTCTCGCCGGTTAGATTTTCATTTAATTTAAACGACAACGGCGGCGTCGCCGTTTTTCCACTCCCTCCCGTCTCTCTCGCTCCCGTTCGGCACTCCATGTCCCGTCGACGCTAACGAGCGTGTTTGGAATTTTGACAAATCTCACGCTAGGATTTTGCCTTCCGCGACCCAGTAACAATGCAAACGTCGTTATTCGTCTGTCACACACATTAACGGTTTTATACGGAAAGCCATTTCGCATCGCATCCGCAGGTACGCATTGCATTTTGCGCATTTGCCCACCTATGTACCTGTGGTGATATATGTGTGTGTGCGTGTTTGTGCCGTAAACGTTTGCTCTATGCTCGCCTCAAACTTATTACGGTTAACGTACACCTACGTATTATCCGTTAACGTAATATCGCGCGACATGCGCAACTCTATGTGTCTACATCAAGCAACGATGCGCACACGGATGGTTTAATTTAATGGAGCAAAACGATAAAGCGATCTGCCATAAGCTCAATTCCTTCCTAACGTAAGCGCCAAACAGCTGGAGCAGAATAAGAGGTGGAGCGGGGCGAGGGTGGCAGCCGAGAGGAGGGAGAGAGAGAGAGAGAGAGAGAGAGAGAAAGGAAAGGAGACGAATCGCGTTTGCTCGATTTCACCTGCGAAACCATCGAGGAACTGTCGCGCATCCCGCGATAGACGTTTACTGATGACCCGTCAAAAATTGATTTTCGCATTTTACCCCTGTCGATACGTGTTACCGCGCACACACTTCATCCCTGCAACCCAACCACCGTGTACACGCGTGATCCCGGAAAACACGGGACACGGGAAACGTCCTGCACAACGCCAACACGCGAAGCGTGTGCTCGAAAAGTGTTTAAAAGAGAGAGAGAGAGAGAGAGAGGGGGGGTGGGGGAGGGGGAGAGAAATATACCAACGTTGTCCCAAAATGACCTTCGGAAAGCGACCTTTACCGCGAGAGCTACTTACGCGGTAGACTTAACGACTTCGCCCGCGGTTAAAGCTATACGCCGCGCAATTAATTCCCTAAGTTCCGCCGGCAAGCAAATCGATGCAAATCCTCGAACAAAATCCCTTACGACGCGTCGCTCCTCGTAATAACTCCGTCCAACGTCGAATTTGCCTATCCAAACTACCGTTAAAAGCGCGACTACGACGACCGGGGGGGGTGACCTGTGTCGATGATTAACATCGTCTCGAAGGAGCCGAATCGACCGCGTTGAGATTCATACAAGTCCTGTGCATTGTGTACACTGATTAGCCAATGAATATTTATGCCGATGCGTATGATTGCTTCTATAATGATCGTCAAACGTTTCAATCTGTCTCGGATGTCCTCCCCATCCCCCCCTCCCGCCCCGCTCCCGGTGGTGAAAACTAAACTGTGGGGGGGGTAGCGTCGGTGTATCTAAAAATAGGAAACTGTTACGCTTTCAGAAACAAACGGGCGAATTTTCGAAAAAAAAAGAGAGAGAGAGAGCAGCGCAGGAAGCTGGGAATTATCGGGAATGTGTCTGCGGATGAAGATCGGGGAATAAGCATGAGCAAGCAACTTTGCGAATTCAATTCGTGCATTGCGCGCTCAAATCTCGATTCGATCTCTTGGTAGAGCATCACGGATATCGGACGCCGCGATAAACTCGCTGTTCAAGATATTCGCGTTATCCCAATTAGAATCGCGATTCCCGCCGTTATCGGGGAAGGGGGCGGGGGAGAAAAAAAACAAAACGAGAGGAATCGCACGCTTTTTGTCGCAAGTGCGGCTTTCGGAAGTGTTTCGGTCCCCCCCCGGTTTGCCCCACGAGCGTCACCATCGCGCTCGGCCTCGCGCCGCGCTGCCGGAAGTGGGAGACATCGACGAATGTTTAAATCGTTACGAGAGACGCGGTTTCCGCCGCGAGGAGACGTTCGTTGACAAAATGACGAGGACGATTACGAGAGAGGAGACGTCTCTACAATTTCCGTGCGCGTAGACGCGTCACGTGGTCCGTGACCATGACTTAGCAGGGGGGAGACGCGCGCGGCTGAAAAAAGCGTTGTTCCCCAGCGAGGACGTTCCTCGGCCCGAATCCGGGATTTCCGCTCTCGAAATTGCGAGACAACAGGCAGAGAGAGAGAGAGAGAGAGAGAGAGAGAGAGAGGGAGAGAAGCGGGAGCGATGAAGCGGACGAAACGAGGTTTGCTCCGGCGAAACGAGGAGAGAGAGCCGCGATGCCGTGTCGAGGCAGCTTCACCTCCGCGAGACGAAGACGCGCGAGTCAACGACGAGATGAAAGGGAGGGTGGCGAATCCGAGCGAGCAAACGGCAATAAAATTCATCTGGAAAAACCTCTCGCGCTGAAACCTTGTCTGTTTCCATTTGTGTCGGGAGTTGGTAGAAATCGCGGAGAAACAACGTTTCGGCCGCGACGCGCTATATCGCGAATTGTTTCACTCGTCGAAACTCGAGGAGGGAGAATCCGATGAAGCACGCGCGCGTCTGTATACGATTTTTACACCGCCGGGGATTTCTCTTTACCCCCGTCAAGATTCGTTACTTCCCGCCGGCGGTAACCCGGGCTGAAGTAGCATAAAGGAAAATTGAACGATCGCTTATGCTTCCTCTCCCCCGTCGTGTCGAACGAGGCGCGAAACGATCGTAAAGGAGACTCGCGCGCGCTACCCGGCGCGAGTCCCCGCGGAGATAAATTTACCTGGTGAAAACGCGGAGCGCGCGACGCCGTGCACGACCCCGTCGATGCCGATGAATATGAGGAGCGGTGCCAGGGCTGCGAGCATCGGGACCGTCCTGGAACGCGCGGCATTCGCACCGCCGCGGGCCTGCAGCGTCATTCCTGTTCCCCGGCGCACTCGCGCGATCTCCGATCGCGCTTCTCCCGGGTGCAATGTCCTATATCACCCGCGATCTTGCTCTTCCCACGCGATTGGTCCACGATTAGCGCACCTGGTGTCGCCTGGAGCGCCTTCTGCGCGCCTGGCACGTGCTCCGTGCAGCTCCCGGCCGAGCGCCTCCGCTCATCTCCGTGCGTTCGTGCGCGTACCGCGAGACACCGTCCTGGTGCCGACGGCACCGTCGCGGAGCGTGACACGCCGGTACAACGGCACGGCACGCATCGGTACGGTGGCTCAAGGTCACGAACGCGCCGTTCGCGAAGGGAGAACTACGTTGAGAATGAAAGGGGGAGAGAGAGAGAGAGAGAGAGAGAGAACACGCGAGAGGGAGAGTGCGAGCGAGAAAGGGAGAAAGAGAGTGAGGGAGAGAGTGTGAGAAAGATAGAAAACGGGAAAGCGAGACACTCCGGTACGTAAGAGAGGATCCACGACGAGACCTCGCTCCCCTTCTCCCGAGGCTGGTCCTGGTCCCTCTGTCCCGGGCCGTAGACTGCTGCCTGGAAACCCTCGGAGTACGGAGTACGCTCGTGCCTCCACCACCCCCGTCCACCCCCCGCCGCCGCGCAAGCACCCGGACTTCGCGTCCCGTCCCGCGACTCGCCGCCGATAAACTTCCTACGGGCACCCTCCAATACTCTCTCTCTCGCGCGCCTTCTCCCTCACTCGCACCTCTTTCTCTCTCTTCTCCCCTCTTCGTTGTGCAGCCCGCACCAGGAACGGTCTAGCAGCGCTTGCGCCCTCGTAACCGTGCCCTGATGCCCGGGCACTGCCGCTACCACTGCTGCTGCCTCTGCCTCTGCCTCTACCTCTGCTTCTGCCGCTTCCTCCGTACCTTGGCGAATCTCTCTTCCGTCTGTCTCTCTCCTCGGCCCGCCGGCTGTTCGTCGCCTCCTTGTCGGTAGCCCTTCGCGCGGGAGAGACCCTACGGTGGTGTAGCTGCCGCGACCTCCCGCCTTTCCCTCTTTCTTTTTCTTTCTTGCTCTTTCGACAACTCGGCCCCCGCGCTCGCTCCCGAATTTCTTTCCACGGTCCATCCGGACGGTTCGCTCGCTCCGGAACTCTCCTTCTCTCTCCCCCCCCCCTCTCTCTCTCTCTCTCTCTCTCCCGCGTCTCTCGGGATCCAGCTGCGTCTAAGCTCTGGCACTAACGCGCGGACCTCTCCACGACGATCGTCGATGACGGGTTTACGGGGATGACAATTGCGATCGTACGGGTGTTTAGCCGGGGCACAATCGTTGTCGAGGGGAAACTGCCCCGGATAGCTCGCGGGGATCCCGGTGCCGTCCACCTGCCGAGTATCTCTCTCGCCCGTTGTCTTCGCCCGGGACACCGCTTAATTCTAGATATTGCCCCCCCGGAACTGCGAGTTACGATAACCACGCGACCGGCGTATGTCGCCGAATAATACTTTCGCCGGATTAAGCGCCACCTAATTCATTTTATCTCTTACGTGCTGATCGCGCCGAGTGTCTATCCCCCTTGGAAAAATGACTCCCACGGCGATCAGCCGTAATTCTGTCGCGGGTAATAAAGAAACAACTTTGTACGCTACCAATGGCACGATATATAAATCCCCGCGATGGATATTACTTTTTTAGAATACGAAATAAATTTCTTCGCGTTACGGAGCTCGCTCCTCCCCCGCGGGAGTAATTTTAGACTAGCAACATAAGAACGCAAAAAATGAACTTGGGAGCGGTAAAAATAGTCGCGACGCGGCGTTTATATACCGATTCGTTATAATATTTCGAGTTTAATGGAAATATTCGCAAACATCTGTCCATTTTAAACCAATATTTTACGCGTATCGCGCGTATGGCGGGCGTTACCGACTAAATCTGCATGCGGCAACGACAAACAAAAATGTAAGCGCGACAAAAATAATTTTAATCTTATTTCTATGTTTGGCTGGGGAAAAAAAAGCACAAAAATTCCGACCAAATTCCGCGATCGCCGTTAATGAAATTTCGCCCCGGATGGAAAACGGAAACTGTGTCGCTGCGTTTTACTTTTGAAAACTGCAAAAGGCAGATCTTCGCGACGACCGATGTATCGTTCAACGAGGAACACGCGACTACAATTATGCCATGCTACAGTTGTTTCCGCGCGAATTACGAGTCGCAGTCACGCGCGATCGTTTCTTCCCCGAAAAGAGATTTTATTTGTTCACGGCAATAGAAAGAAAATATCAGGCCAATAAAAACCTATAACTGCGCTATTTTTTCTCCCGAGCACGCGTCGACAAAATAGCGTCGGGAAACGATCGCGGGTGGAACCGGCCAAGACGTTATCGCGATACGACTCTCATCGGCCGTCAAATTATTCCATTTATTTATCCTCTGTCATTTCGTTCGATCTCCCGCAGGATTATCCCGGCTTTACCCGGCGTGGCTCGCTCCGCGCGATGGCGAAGGTGGAGGCCGGTGCACCCCCGCGCGAGAACTAGGCATATCACGAGATCGCGACCTATCAGCGACGATCTACAACCGAATCCGCTGTCAGCGATGAGCGAGGAGGATATGGCGCGGTGGTGGGTGGTCGAGATCTGAGCTGACGCTATGAGAACAGCGGGAGGCGGAATTTGGAATGATGGAAGTGATTGTCCTGAAATTACGAGGTACGATCTCCGGCGCGTCGTTAGCAGACCCGAGCGTCTGCGAGCGTGTAACGCCGGGCGAAGCCGGGAAAAAAGCCGGGGAGGGCGCGCGCGGGCGGCGGGACGGGCTCGGGCGCCGCGCACCGGAGTAATTGACTTTGAGATTCGACTCGAATCCACCTCGGAGGACAAATCGGAGTGTCGAAATGTCAATATTTGTCGCCCCGTTTTATCACGAGGGCTGTCATATTTCCAAAATCTCGGTGGACGAGAATGCGCGCGCGGGCCCGATATATTGATTTTGTTTATAGACAAAGCTGTTTTTGTCGTGTCTCCGTTACGCGCGACGCGTCAAAATCCGGCCGGATTTCGAGTTTCGCGGGCCCTCGCGCGCGCGCGCGAGTTCCCGGGGTTCCCCTCCGGCAGGAACGAAACGACGCCATCGGAGACTTCAATGTGCGTTAATTAATCGCGACGTACTTGGCGTATCGCGGCGATTAATCGCCGGCGTAATGTGGCCCTAATTAATCGCGGGCAGGTGACTCGTATCGCGCATTATTACTCACGAATAAACGGTTGTTTCGCCGATATAACGTATATTAATGATCTCATATATATCAGGAACGCGCGGCACGCGCGGCGCCGCGCCGGGGCGTTTTACCAAAAATTACGTCCGTTTGCACGCGAGGCGCGCGCGGCTGCTGTCTTTAAACACCCGTCGCGCTCTGTGATGCGCAACGACCAAGTTTATATCTCGGATGATCAGTCTCGGATGATCGGTGTTAACGAGGTTCGTTACAATGGAGCGCGGGCTTTTCGCTAAGACGACTGCCGGAAGATGAGGGGGGGGGGGGAGGAGGAGAGGGAAGTATTAAGGCCGTGGAGATGCCGGTGATTGTTCCGAAATTACGACGAGCCATCGTTAACTCGTACTTGCGCGAGGGGTCGCCTTCCGCTGCTGATTAACTTTTAATGATCTTAGATTAAGCTCCTCCACATGGTATCGCGCGCCGTCGCGCGTCCCCTCTTGAATCGCGAGCCCGATTCGCCCGGCGCGTTACGTATTTACGAATAAATTTATTAACGTATATCGTAAAACGCTGAAAAAAAAAGTAAGCCGATAAGCGGGATTAAAGCATCGGGTTTTATGATTTATGCTTATTAGTGCGGCGGCGCCGGTTTCGCGAGGAAAACATGACGCGACTCGAATAAAATGAGCGCGGCGGAAAGGTCGAACACGTTAATAAGCTTACGGGATAAACGTAATACCTGTTGTATTAGGCCGCCGCAAGAGGTAAAGCTACGCGTTCGAACGCGCCCGGCGCGTATTTCTCCGAATATTGTGTATCTCGAGTCGCGCGAATGCTTCTTTAAAGCATTAGGAGGAGGAAAAAAAAGAGAAATACATGCGGCGGGACGTTTCCCGCGCGCGCGGAGGGAAGTGCTTTTGGGTCACACGTTTATGTGATAAACGTTTCCGCTGTACTCCTGCCGGCAACGCGGTCGCACCTATTTAGCCGGGCTGCGAAAGCGATTGTATATTCGAGCGATATTTCGAGCATATAATTAACAGATGAAGCCGCCGCAACGTGCGAAAGCAATTAATCGCAGGTGTCACGCACCACGGGTGAACCGGCCTGATTAACCCCGTTCGCGCCGGGGCGAGAGCGTTTCGTTTCTGACTGTCAAAGAGCAGCTGGCCAATTTGTAAACGGCGAGGAAGCGATGAGCGAAAGAAGCGTCATCGTTCGATTGTCCTTCGTGTCGACGATCCGTAAACCCGCACAGAATAAAATGTCTAATAAATACCCAATGGATATCCGCATATCCATATGATGGTCCATGGCTACTATGGATATCCAATACATATCTAATGGATGTATAAAATGTCTATATCTTCCGCACAACTAGTAGGATATCTATTAGATATGTACGTGTTGTCCACATGTCCATATCCACCAAACAGCTACCAAGGATATCCATTACATATTTACGTGCTGTCCACATATCCATGTCTACCAAATAGCTACCAAGGATATGCATTAGATATTCAAAACTAGTACCACTTGCTGCCGCGACGCGGCGCTCGCACGTTAGATTTTCTCGTAATTAAAAATCATCCTGCAATAATGTATTATAAAAGGCGAGCCGACGAATCAATCCAACGTTATCTCCGCTGACAAAGACAACAGAATTTGAAATCATATATAGTTATGTATAAACAAATTTCATACATAATTTTACAAAACGTACAACTTTTTGTAAATTTTTTAACGGACAAATGTTAATGTACATGTACTGGATATCTATGGGACATCTATCTAAATATCCATTAGATACTGATATGGATGTTTAATACGGATATTGGCATAAATATTCTATGAATATCTATTAGATCTCGGATGGCGAACATTTGGGTATCTAAAGCACATCTAACGGATATTCTTTAACTATTCGTGGATATCCTTATTACCTGTCGTGGATATCCATTAGATATTTATGTGTGGAGAGGACGTGAATAACAGCCGACACTACCGATTTTAATTCTTGCAAAGCGCTTCCGCGATAACTTGCCGCGTATTTTGTGTATTCCCAAAGTTTATGTAATACGGAACTGGTACAACTTGCCTCGCGGATACGTTTGCAAAAACCGGCCTGCGAAAACAGGGGATAAAAGTTAATTCGGGCGGCCAGGTTCTTGCAAGATCGAGCATCTAAGCGTATTTTCTTTCTTAATTAATTTCTCCTCGTTATTCCAACTTTCGCTGGGACGGAGGGTTTCGGGTACCTCGAGGACGCCGGGATCCCCTGAAATGCGATACAAACGAGACGTAATCGTACTGTATCGAAAAAGAAGGGAGGCAAGTTCGCGGCGTCTCCCGGGGAGATA